TTTTCTAAAATCTTGTCCTGAGCTAATCAAGCTGACTCGTTTAAACTCACGTAATGATGTTATTTTCAATTTTCAAACCCTTAAATTAAGGTGGTTTAAATGAGATAATCCGTTTAACTCTCTTGACACATTTAAACGGCTCTCACATGCATGGCTTTGCTTATGTCATGTATCAAAAATAACAAATAGGGACAATTTTAATTATGTGCGTGTATTTTTATTTTTTTTTTTGGCCTGAAACACTTGTGTGTGTATAATTCTATGCATATATATGTTTTTATTTCCATGCTTTTACACAGTTTGACATAATTTAACATTGTTCATAACATTTTTTTACCAAAATAATGCAATCTCTTATAAATTATACTATTCTTAATATAAGACCTTATTTAATTTTTATTTTAGTCTTAAATATAAGAACCCAATTCACTTTATTTCTCATATTTATACATTTTTTTAAGGATAATCTTTCTGTTCTAATAATGGTAGTTTTAGCCAATACACTTTATTAGTAAGGATATTTTAGAAAAGATAATATTTATTTATTACAAATAACTAACTTAACTTATTTTCTTAATCTCTTCAAATTAGTTAACTACTACTCCTTCGGTCCTAAATATAAGACCCTTATACTATGTGTATAAGGTATTATATTTAGGACCGTAGGAGTAGCTTCTCTATTTTAGGACCATAGGTAATATATTGGCATGTATTGATTTTAAACTAAGCAGTTTTAGATCCATTATCTTTCATACACATTAAGTTATTGACTCTCCTAAATTCTTCCCATTAATTGTTTTCTTTCTCTCTCATCGCGCTATTGAGTTAGGATTAATTACTATGTTAAAAACTTATAATTTGTTGTATTTTTATTCTTAAAATGTAAAAGTTACCGTTGAATTTTTTTTAAAAAAAATATGTATAAAATATTAATATAGCAGGACAAAAAAAAACAAAGAAATATAATATAGAAAAGAGAGTTAATAACAAAGTCGCTACAATAACAAGGCTGGCTGTTATGTTTGGATAATATCCCCCCCGATTTCTACTCTAAACCTTATATTAACATGTTTTAATTTGTTTTGTGTGGATTTAAACTGGCTCTCTTTTTTTTTTTCACTTTTTATTCAATCGCCTTTTTGTTTTTTTTTGTTACCGACAGTTTCATGTGTTCTTTGGGCTTTCACGGCCAAATATGCAATTTCCTCCGCTATTTGGAATGACGGTAAGACAGTGAAAAGTTTTCAATCATAATTTACGAAATATAAAATAAATATATGAGAAGATCTTGTTTCAAATTACGTAAATAAGTGTTTTGAGGTGTACATAAGTGATCCCAGACAAGCAAGCAATTGATCAAATAATTTCTTAGAACCCAAGAAAGCTAGGAGTTGCCCGGAATTAATTCAAATGCTACGAATATTTGCAAATTGCAATTTCCACTCATTTGCACTCCCTATCGTGTTAGGGTGTGTTTGGGATAGCGGTATTAGAATAACTTTGGGTGTTTTGGGATAACTGACAGAAGTAATTTTTTTTCAATCTGACTTTTACAGAAGTCATATTGAATAAAAGTTAGATAGGATAATATGATTTATGTTTAGATGGGTTTTGAAAAAAAGTCATTTTGAGAAGCTGAAATTTTTTTGGGTGATAATGTAAAAATAAGTTTGGATGTAAAATGACTTAAAAGGACATGAATTTTATTAAATAGTATATATCTAATATTATATATATATATATATAATGTAACTATTTTTTAGAAGTTCTGGTTAAAAAAAACTATTTTTTAAGAAGTAAGGAATAAAATTATTAAAGTTAAAGAAATTTAATTTATTATAGAAAGAAATTATATATATAATGTGATCATTTTAAAAGAAGTAATGAAAATAAAATTATTAAAATAAGGACATTTACTTTATTGTTAGAAAGAATTATATATATCATGTGATTCATTTTAAAAAGTAATGAAAATAAATTATTAAAATAAGGAATTTTAATTTATTGTTAAAAGAAATTATATATATAATGTGATCATTTTAAAGAAGTATTGAAATAAAATTATTAAAAATAAAAAATTTAAGTTATTATTAGAAGGAAATTGAAAAAAATAAAATACTTAATTCAATATATGTAATGGATAAATACATAAATTAAAATCATTCAACTCAAATGAGGAGTGTGTGTGTTGTTTTTTTTTTTTAAAGTGAGATGAGAGAAAATTCATGCAAGATCAGGTAGGTAAAAATTTGAACATCCAAATAAATATTCTAATGGTATTTTCCAACACCCTCAACACAACAAAAAAAAAAAAAACAGCTTCAAAGAGCTTCTTTCAGAAGTCCATTTCAGCCTCAGAAGTTAGATTGATCAAACATGCCCAAACATGTTTAAAAAACGCTGCCTCTTAACTTATTAGGTGGGGATGCACATTTTGGGTCCAAACGTGATCCCAAAACACAGCCTTAGTATGTTGTCAAAAATGTTATAACCTTTGGTTTTTTGCTTTCCCTGCGTTTCTCCATGACCGAAGTTAAGTTTCTTCTTTTGTGAACCACAGACAGGCAATATGTTCTTATCCTCCAGGAATTCAGTAAAATTAACTTTTTTCTTAAACCTGCATATGATTATAGGAGTCAGTTTCTTCAGAGGGGAAAATCCATGGCTCAAACATATTAGGAATGTCAGGGGGACATTTGCAGATGTTGTCTCTGACTATTTGCTTGGGCAAACTTCATTTGCTCTCCATCTCAGGTTCTAGTCTCTGAAATCTGTTCAAGCTTCTTAGCTTCTTTTGATAATGCATCTACCTAACTTTAGTGGATGGTTTGATGCAGTCTCCCTCCTCATCTCCTGCAAAGAGACCACTTATATTACAGAATAAGGGAGCTGCAGAAGAATTTCAATGATCTACATAGATGTCTAAACATACTGGATTCACTTCCTATTTGAGTATGATAGATCCTATATGGATTATTCCCGTTGGTTTCAGGAGGATGTGGTGAAGCCTCTACTTTAACTTACTAAAACATCTTTGTTTCATGACTGTACCATTCTATGTTAGAATTTACTACAATCTAAAGATATGTCTTAGTGCACTCTGATTAGAGGTACCATTTTCCTATTAAAGACGAAAACGTGTGGTTTCATCTCGTTGAAGAACATCAAGTGACTGACTGAGTTACAGATATGTATTGTAAACCGAATCTGTGTGTCCGATAAGTCTGGAATTATTGTGTCATTCTTGTGAATTTTAGTAGCTGTAACAGCAACTAGCAGGATGCGTTTGATCTGTCCACTTGATTTTACAGCCTTCCTTTCTTCTGATTTACCTGATTTCATTAAATTTCCCATCTCCTGTGGCTACAGCCTGGAAGAATGCGATCGTTACTTGGAAAGAATTGGAGTTTATGAAAACAAGCCTGCAGACATTATCCAAGGCCAAATGGATACAGACTATCTCTCAAGGGTATATTTTTATGGTTTTTGGCCTATAAATTTATTTATGAAATAATAATAGCTAATGATCATTACAATCGGTTAGAAACCTATACTCAGAACGATGCAGAACCTTCTTCCTTAAATGAAGACAAGCATGAGGATGTAGGTATGGTTGGCAAACGAAGGAACAAAGAAACTGAATTAACTGTCAAGTCGGCCTTATTTGCAGCGTTCGCCAAATATGCTGACAGGGTTGGAAAGAAAAAGCCTTACATCAGAAGAGGAAGAGAGAGGGGAATCAAGTCTTATAATGGAACCAAAGAGAAAATGATTGTCATTTTTTCAGTTGATTAATATTTAATTTAGCCGACCAGGATCTTGTAGCCCAACAGACATCAAGCACATTTCTTAAAGCTTTTTTCAATGTGAGGTTGCGAGTTCGCAGATCCAACAGTTGTGTAAGTTACGGCAAAAAATTTAACTGGGAGCATGGGCTATGTAGATTCAGATGATTGATTTACAATCACTGTGGTTCTAAAGCCAGTCTAGAACCTTCTCTTGGGTCTGGGAGCAGTCTGGTCTCCACTTTAGTCTATGACAGATGGGGAACCTCTTGCCGCCTGAATATCAGATTGGGCCTTGCACAGCTTTAGACTAGTGCAATCTTTGCATTGCACTGTTAGTATTTAAAGTTTTCCTGGGAAAGATAAACGTTTTGGTTGAATGATTAAATACAAGTGGAAAGTAATATCAACAACAAAATAATTGATATGAGCTGATGGCATTCTAGTTTGCAAATGATAAATCCCAACAAGTTGGCATTATTCCCATATGGGCCACACATCTATTTTTTTCCATTGTTTGGGTCCCATGTACCTCGACTGTAAAATCTCTTCGCCAACATAGAATGCAGATGATTTTGAATTAGTCTACCCATGGTGCATTTTGTCTCCTCTCTGTGCTCTGTGGGTCCGACCCGACCTGAGTGTATTTATCGGACATAACCCATCAAGCTTCAGTCTTTCAAAAATAGTCAGTTGGTGGGTCTTGAACTGTGAATTTGCTCCATTTTGCAGCAGCTAACGGCTTGGACTTGAAGCATGTTTCTGATATCTTAATGAACTAGATGAACTAACAGAAGATGGGTTTCTAACTAGTGGTATTAGTGATTGCACTACATCTGTCATAAGCGGCCTGTAATCTGCTTCTGGCTGTATGCACATTGCTGCTATGGCTGCTACCTATAAACCAAACCATTAATACAAAGACAGCATTAATTAATGGGATAAAATCGCCACTCCTCCTACTAACAATGACTAGAAGCACAAAGAAAATTAACCTGCACTAGATCCTTCTTAGAGTACTGTCCTCGCAGAGCTGGATCAACCATTTCCATCACCTTTTCTCTGCTTGTTAACCTCGGAAGAGCCTGATCAGTGATCAATAAGCACACGCCGCTTTTAAGTTACATCAAACTATCCATTAGTAACATAACAAAAATCATGAAATTCTCATGTGGCAATGAAACGTCAAGACATGGGAAATTCAATATTTGCACTCTTATGCCAATGGTTTTATAGTCTAGTGATATGAATGCTTCTTGTAAGTGAGAGATTATGGGTTCAATCCTGAAATAGCCTTATAATCTAGTGACATGAATGCTCCGGAGATTATGGGTTCAATCCTGCTTGTCTCCTCAGACTGCTAGTACTCATCCCTCTTATTGAAAAAAAAAATTTGCTATCTTTATGTATGCACAAACAGTTATTAATCAAATAACTAACCCAAGAGACAAGGACATGTTCACCAGGGGGGCGCTTAATATCAACTGGCACTCGCCCAGTGAGCAACTCAAGAAGAACCACACCATAGCTGTATACATCTGACTTGGTGGTAAGCTTCCCTGTGGATGCATACCTACAATATAATATAAATTTCAATTTCAATTTCAAATCTTAGTTAGTAATGAATTTCATTTCATAGCAGCTACGAGAAAACCATCTTTGTCTTAAACGAGAAAATTGACAGCTTGCATGAAAGTGACTTGATACTGACTGTGTCCATTGGAACGATTCCTTTCTCTTAACACACCAATTTTCGTACTGTGTCCAGAAGATAAGGAAAGGAGCATCACAGTAACCAAAAGATAGTTTTTTTTTTGTTTTTTGGGGGTGAGGGTACAGTGTACTCACTCTGGTGCCAGGTATCCAGTGGTCCCCAAAACCCTTGTGGAAACTTGACCGTTGATCTTTTCTGAACCCATCTTGGCCAATCCAAAGTCAGAAACTTTAGCACGGAAGTTATGATCCAGTACAACATTGTTGGACTTGAAGTCTCTGTGTATCACAGGCGTGGCCGCATGCTCATGCAGAAACTCCAAGGCCCTGGCACAATCAAGGGCCACCCTCATTCTCGTCCACCAATCCAACGGCTGAGCATGATCCTGAGCAGAGTGAAGATGGTATTGAAGTGTCCTATTGGCCACATATTCAAATACAAGGAGCCTGTGATGCTGATCAGCGCAATACCCAATTAACTCCACCAAATAAGGAGAATGCAATCGGCTTAGAAGATCCACCTGCAATTAAAAACAGAGCCAAGCATAAAAAAAAAGACATTTTATTTTCACATTCTACTCTTCGCACCCATGTGCAGGACATTATTAAATAAGCCATTTTTTTTTCGGTGGGTACTAAGTATAAAATCAAGAATTATTGCTTGAGAATCGTGAGGAAATCAATTATTTGTTTTCTTCCCACTTTAGAGTTACTTCAGAGACAACAGAATAACCACAAAAATGAGCATAATAGTAGCGTATAAAAAGGTGGTCTTTTGTTCTGTAGGTCCTTTCACGCATTAAGAATTTTAAAATAGTAACTTGTTTTGAGTTTTGACTTTTCTTTTGGATCTCCATTTGCTCACGGAAACGGCAGCTTTCCAAACAGAAAAGACAAATGCAATCTCTGTGGAGTCTGAACAAACAGGATTACATACATGCCCGGCAAGGAAACACAGACAACAGTGAAAAAGCAGGGGAGCAGGTAAGAAAAGAACAGAGAAACGTTACTATTAAAGCCCAAGTCCTTAGTCATAAAATCGATTTCCAAATATATAGTGAAAAACTCTTGAAGAGTAATAAATCGTGTTAGATTCAAATAGTTAGAGGTATTAAATGTTTTGAAACAGAGGCTTAGAACAGAGATAATGAGATAATAAATGAAGGGGCTCACCTCGATTCTGAAGGCACGCTCGCCTTGCTTACCGTCCCTCTGCAGCAATTTAATGGCGGCCAGAGTGCCATCACTTAAGACTCCCTTGTACACCAAACCAAACCCTCCATTTCCAATTATGTTTGCTTCACTGAATCGCTCCGTCGCCACTTCTAGCTCCCTGTACGTGAACACTTGCACTCCTCTGAATTTAGTTGCTACTGGTCTGCTCACGTTTCCTCCATAAATACACCCTCCCCTGACATCTGCATTTTTCTCCCGAAATTAATAACACTAACCTTTTATTCTTCAAAACATTCTTTTGTTGAGCTAGAGAAGAACGTTAACTACCTGGGCTACAAGTGAAGTTGGAAGCTGTTGAGGCATTGAATCTGCTACTAGCGGTGTCATGGAACTCTTCATTGCCGAGTTTAGTAGTTGGATTCTTGGGAGAGGATTTGAGGCGACGGAGGAGGAATATGATGAGAGAAATGGCGAGAAGAAGCAAGAAGGAAGTGAGAGTTATGATGACTATGAGAATGGTTTTGGAGGGTAAATGGGGATGATGATGATGATGCTTATTATACTCTTCAGGATGTGAGTGGTTCTGTGTTGAGGCAAAACTTGGTGATTCTGCAGCCACAGCAAAACTGGTATTGACTTCCATGATTGCAGAGAACAAAGCTAGAAAGAAGAAAGAGATGGCTTTCGCGCAGAGAGAGACAGATGAATGAATTTGATAGTTGAGACAAAACGGAAGGTGCAAGTTAGTATTTTGCTAGTTTTGAACTGCCCTTCTTCCAAGGAGTGACCAACTAAAGGCTCACAACACCTCTCTCTCCCCCCTTCTCTCTCCCTCTCGCTCCGTGTTTTCTCGTGAATAATTTAATCGAAGTGGCATCGTGTACTTGGTTTGTCCCTAGCGTTGTCTTATGTATGCAATTCTCTTTCTTTTGTATCACAAAAGCCTTGAAGCTTTTGCCCTATCTGTCTTTTGAATCCGCAGAAATCCTAATAATCTTCAGATTTCAGAATAAAACCAAGGGCATGCAATATAATTTGAAAAAATAGCAAATAATACCCCCAATATATGAAATTGTGCTTTGAAACTCTCAATTTGAAAAATGGCAAATAAAAACCTAGTTCCATATTGCAAATATAAAATCTTAGTGAAATATTTGAAATGTCTCTCAGCTAAGTTGTGATTTGGTCTACTAAAATTGTCATTCGCTAAAGTGAATTTGTCATTTCCCATAATCAGCTTGTCATTTGGTATATTCTTAGTCAAGGTGTGATGTGATCTACTAAAATTGTCATTCGTTCAAGTAAACTTGTCATTTCCCATAATCAACTTATCACTTAGCTGATGGGCATTTCAGACATCTCAGTGAGATTTCATATTTACAGCATGAAACCGGGTTTTTATTTGCCATTTTCCTATATAATTTTCTTATTCCAATTTGATAAAAAAAAAAAAAAGAATCAAATAAAGGATAGCAGTTATGGGTGAGAGAAGGCTTGCCAGCTAACCAAGTGGGCATTTTCTTTTTCGGCAACCAATAATTATGATACCCTCCGAAAGAGGCAACAGATTAAAACAACGCTTAAGCTCAGCATGTGCATTTCCATTCTTTCCCTCTAAATTATCATTTCATTAGTCATCCCCATCTCCATTCTATCATTTCCTAACCAACAATAATTGAAAAGAGCTACATATAATAAAATGTTTATATTTGAGAATCATATCGTCAATCAAGAAGAGGTTGATGAATCGCTAAATCAATGGCGACCTGCACATAACTTGAAATCCAAGGTAAAGAAAAGAGAAGGGCGAAAGAGTTGGTATTTAATACAGTTGGTGTTTGATGGGATTGAGGTTGCACCCAGGGTGGACTAAATTGCAAGGTGCAATAATGTTTAATAAAAATTAGAAGATTAGATATTAACCGGATGAGATTATAAAAGAGATTAAACATGTGATTTTCCGCATAGAAGAATTTTCATGTTATTAGGTTATTGACACAAATACCAATATTGATAGGGTCTCTCATGCCATCATGCCTTTCACCTTTTGGTTCTCTTAATTAATTTGTAAATAGTAACAAAGTTAGTTAACTTAGATATTTATAATAAATAAATATTGATTTTTCTTAAATGCTCTTTTAAACATATACTTTTTGGAACTCTTTTTAGTAGAAACTCTTTTCATACATGTAATCAATAAAAATATTTTAAGAAAATTATAAATTTAGGAAATAAAGTAAATTGAGATCTTATATTTAAGAGCAAATTAAATGTCAAACTAACTCTTATATTCCTCCAGACTTAAATATAAGACCCATTTTACAGTGCTGCAAAATGAGTCTTATATTTAGGACCGGAGGAATATTAAAAATCAAAGGTATTATCACAATTTTGTCGCTCACGCACAACACACTAACCTCACTTTCAACCCTAATACGGCATGTTCTAAAGTTTTAAGTGGTAATATAATAGTCAACATTCACATGCATTCTTAGTTGTGCGTCCAAGTAGCAATGAGATCACAAAAAGGCAAATACTTTGACATTACTTTCTCGTTTGCACAAGCTAGGCACTTGGGCAGATGACAAATCCGTGAAAAGGAAAGAAAAACCGACTTGCCAATCATTTATTCAACAATGAAATGACCAATTGCTACTACACTTCCTTTCCTTTCTCAAGGGCATCCTTATCTTTGTCAACCGAAATAAACAACATCGTACCTAACCTCTACTACCTTTAAACAAGACATTCATTCAATCAGTCTCACTGACCAAAAGCATGTTTTTATCAACTGTAAATAGATCATTTTCACTTTTCAGCCTGCAAATCTGCAATGTTAGTGAGGAGAACAGGCACTGCTTTCAACAAAGCCAACAATTGGCCTTGGACATAGCTGGTGGTTCACAATTAATTTAAGTAAATAAAAAAAACTAATGAAATTAGTTATTTGTTAAAAAAAAATGAATATCCTCTTAAATCATTTGTATTGAACCTGTCCATTGATATAAGCTCTCTTAATATCTACAATTAATAGGGATAATTAGGAAAAAAATTATAAGCATGAGAAACAAAATAAATTAAGATTTTATATTTACACTCAAAGAAAGACACCAAGTAGCTATTACATCAGGGGTGGAAAGCAGTATTCATTATGCAAAGGGCATGAAAATGGCGAGCTCAAAGTCACACCCGTCATGTGGCCATCAGAAAGCTATATTCAAGATGGAGCAGGACCACAACAACCGAACCCACTATGCAATATACTTCACATTCAACCTTCGCTTTCCGTTCAGATATCCCATGTCCCGTATCAGTCACACGCCATGTGTTTCACCCATCCATTCATTACAACACCACATTTGCATCCAAACTTCAAATGTTAACTTTTTAAGTGCTTGTTATCAGCACCAAATACATTCGCTACTTCAAACTATTTTCTCCTCATCAAGAGTCTTATTTATGCGATAACCATGAAACAATTGACTTCCACAATGATTCCTATACCAATACCACCAAGTGCTTAGATCAACTAGTAAGAAAATTATTCCAGCTCAACCAGAGGTCTAATGTTCAAACTTAGAAATGCAGCAACGTTAAATACTCGGTAGTAGAGCTTACCACCCGAAAGGGTCCCACTCAGCTCAATCTGGATTAGCCTAGGCCCCATGAGTAGACCCAAAATACTGGATGCACACGCAAAAAAAAAAAATGATTCCGATATCAATGAGTTCAGGGATCCCAAGGAGATATATGCAGAGGAGAGAACATTCATATTTTCAAACTTAAACACGTAGCTCGCATGTAGCTTTTGAGTTGAATATAATGTCTGGCGCAACATTGTCACGACACATATCTAGTATGTCCAGATCAATTATGATCTTTCTTGGTTTTCAACAAGTATGCTCACACTCAAGGCGTGAGACTGACACCGTTTGAGTTGAGCTTTGTCAATTGTAACCATCCCGCCCAAGTGCTTCTTGTGTTGGCTGGTAACTGAGATTTATAATTCTCATGTTTTTTCTAAAAAGAAAACTGTTAGATGAATCATATTTTTAACTCGTTAATCATCAGGAAAACCGAGGAACCTATTTATGAGCTTTGCCACAGGTGTGGCATCACCTGGAGAGTAAGGGACAAGAGAATTCAAATCCATATCAGCTACAGTTTGATGGAGAGTTTGAGGACGCGCACAGTACAGATGTTTTTGATCTGCCAATTCTTCTGCGAGTTCACTTTGATGATTGTCCATCAAATCTTCATTCACAACCACAATTAAAGGCTTGCCCAGACGTAACGTCTCGAATATGCTGCCTGAGCCTGCATGGAGTCAACAGTTTACATCCCTCGTAAAAAATTAGCAGTCAATGTAATACTGCCATATTAACACGCCTGTAAAAATATAAAATTTCTCCCAAAAAAAAGAAAAGAATGAAAACTTTTGTCGTTTTCCAAAATCCCAGGCAGGCATTCAGATTCAGTACTGTGAAATACCACATTCATTCATTCGGTGCATTTAGGAGTGGGAAAATATCCCCCTCACTTTTCAACATAACAACTAGTTCCCCTGTGCTTAGCCTCAGACGGGAAGGGATGAATTGATGGATCCTTTGTTTGCTCTTACACAAGCATAAAGGACATCAATCACGTTAAATTAGTTTAATTTCAAATTTGAATTAAATTCAATAAACCACGCAAGTCAATTTGGTGAAAATAAGTCCAATTCAGTGCCTAGTATATGATTTGTCCTTGTTCATTATGTCCATCTGTTATTTAATCCAATCACATTCACCAGCCTGTCGTGACCGCTGCAGCTTATTTGTTATTTTCATTTTCTTCTGTTCTTCTTAGTACTGGTGAATAACTCGGACAAACCAGTTAACAGTTATCCAATGATTTTCACATCCAACTTTAGTCTAAAGTAGAATGCAACAAATATAACCAATGACCATTGGTGTGACAGCTACTTCTCCCTTGTAGATGGAACAATCAAATTGAGGCCACTAAAACCAAATAGTAACATCATGGCTCATGCAAACTCGAAGAAACCATAATTACATAAAAAGGTGAGGAACCAAAAAAAAAACAACAACAACAACGAAAGAGATAAAAGAAAAAGTGACCTGCGTGACTGATGACAAGAGAGGCTGAATTGAGATGGTCGGCAATGCTGGAGGAAAAGGTGAAGTAGTCTACAGCCAACGAACTACCTCCTTCGGACTACAAAGAAGTAACTTCTAAGAAATTCAGTACTGAGAGAAGCATGTAATAAAGCTAATGTCAATACCAATACAATTTATCAAAATCCTAGTTCATAATTTCCGGGTGATAAAGCCATCATGCATTAACATCTTTCGGTTTTTCACAAATTTCCAACGGGCATTAAAAAACAAGTCAAAGATATCTAAGGAGCCTTATGTGGACGCACTTCCAAACTCTGTATTCAAAAGATTCCTAAATTTCTAAATTCTGAATTAACATTCACCTATAGAATGTTTTGTATTTGAACACAAATCATCACTAGTCACTAGTTTATATAAATGAGAAGCTAATAGTAGTTCAGCTTAACTTCATTGTGGAGACATCAGATGAGTAAGGAATAAAAGGCAAGGAGGCAAGGGGAAAGAAAGGGCACTGCAGTGAAGTGTTTTTAAGACTACCTTAGTGGGAACATAAGATCCGCGACCCATTTGAACCAGGAGGTGGGTGTACCCTCTTGTAAATAACTCTTGCTTGACTGTCGAAGAATCCACCGCTTTCACAAGAGTATCAAATGAAGTCGTCCCCACAGTTACAAAAACAACCCTTCTTGTCTTCTCATCGCCTGCACCATCTTCCATTTAGACTATTTGATCTCTTCTCCAAAATCAGGCGTTGCAAAAATATTTTCAATTGAAGCAAACGACTTTGAGGACAGTTGCTCCGCTTAATCACGAGGAGACTTCCCCTTTTCCTAAGATCGATCTATCCCTTTTGTTTTATAGCTCCCCTCGAAGCCCTAAGAACTGAGAAGCACCGAGGTATCCATATCCACCACTTTTCCTTGAAAGTACTATAATTCGTACCATTTTAAATTTTGCAAGATTCTTACAACAAATGATCAACCCTCGAAGCTCCCTGCAAAACGGAACGATTATGAGCTTAAATAGCAAAAACAGCACTCAAAAGCTGAGCAGCCAGTTGCACCAAATAAGCAAATTAACATAAAACGACGCAATAACAAGGACCAGAGGACCTTCAACTAACAACCGATCATAAAATAAGTAAGCAGTAACAATTCGATTTTAAAATTTAACAGCATTCTGGTCCATTTCTGCTACGGCAAGATTTACATCAAATTTGGAATTTAAATAAGCATGCGAAGAATCCTGATACTCAATTTCATCCAGAGAAATTATACCAAAAATGCAGGTACATCTTGCTAGTAGAACTAGCATCGTCCTTTGGGGCTATGCACGGCGAGGCACTATAAACCCCCCCCCCCCGGGGGGGGGGGGAGAGGAACTGCTATCTTTGTGCATAAAACCACTAAAAGCTAAAGAAGCAACGCCCATGAACAAATTTTTTTTGTTAAAAAAAAAAGGCATTAAAGATTAGTCATTCGTCTCTGAATTCTGGAGAATGACTCGGTAAGAAAAGCATCGACTTCAGCCTCACAAACAATTGTTACGATAAAAAAAAAAAAATCAAATGCATAAACGAAGAGCAACAAAGAAGTTTTACCAGAATCGACAACTCCTGATTGAAAAATCGAAGAGAAAGCCTCTTTTTTTATTTTTTTAAAAATCCAGGAAAACGAAAAGTGTTATTTGGGGTGTCTCGAAGCTGGAAACGGGATGCGTCACGCTTTGGATTGCAGATTGAGCAGCCGAGTTGAAAAAAGGATGCGATCCGGTGCCTAAAATGAAACGTGTTTGGCAGGACATGAAAAATAAGCGTCGGGAGTGGTTGGAGAGCGTCGTTTTAAAAATAATTTTATAGTAATAAATAAAATAGGGATAAGATATATTTAACACTTTAAAATATTTTTTTAAATGCATCTAACACTCTGAAATATTTTGGGATGCATTTAGTATTTTGAAATTTTTTTTGTTTTAGTGCTGAACTTACTTAAAAAAATTTTTAAATGTGTTGAATGCATCAAAAAATACTTTAAAATATTATTGTATTTAAAAAAATATTTCAAAGTACTGAATGCACAACAAAATATTTTAGAATGTTAAATACAATTAAAAAAAATACTTCGCATGTTCAATGCACCTTAAACTTATAAAGTAAATATATTTGAAATTTTTTTTATCTTACTTTACATAAAAATAGGTTTTTTAAAGTGAATTTGGGTATGGAAACGCACGATCGTTAACTACCCGTCTCAAAAGTATTTCTTCCGATTCAAAATATAAACTAAATTTTATTCATTTATGTTTATCAAGAAACTATTTAAAATCAGTTTGAAACAATAAATATGTAAATTATGTAATTTTGTGTGAAATATGTCCTTATTAATGAAAAGAATAAGTAAAAGATATAATAAACGAATCAAAGAAGAAAGAGAATATATAGGGATAAAATTGAAAGAAACTAATTAAATGTCTAGACAAAAGTAAACCTCTCTAAAGTTTAGTTTATATTTTGAACCGGAAGGAATATTTTGAAGAAAGTAACATACATTTTTTATTTAATTTTTTTTGCCAACTACTATTTTTATATAATATATATAATAGTGATGAATAATTAATTAGGTTTTATATAATAAAAAAAGAGCTACAATTCTGCTCGCGCATGATATCATATCTTTTTTTTTTTTTTTTTGCCAACCGCATATAATATCATATGTATAATTCAAAATAAAATTTATAATTTACATGATAAATTTATAAATGAGAGTTTATAGTTAATATTTGCCTCTTGAATTCCAGTCCACCTAATTTTTTGTTTATTAAAAAAAATCAACATCCGTTTTTATAAATGAAAGCAGACAGATACATAAACGAACAAAATAGGTAATAAGTTAAATTCTAAAAAAAAGTAAAAAAATTATATTTTAATTATATGCAAATAAATTAAGGAAAATTACTCAATAAAATGTGTGAAGAGACACGGAAAAAAATAAAAATTTGCATGAAATATATTTAAAAAAAATTGGGAGATCTCACTTCTGTAGGTTGTAAAGAGGAAAACACAAGTTTGAATATCGGAAAATACATTTACCGGGAGAGTTTTAAAATTAACATTTCCAGCTAAACAGAAATTGATCTCAAATTTACTGTGACTCAATGATACTCTAAGTTATAAAAAAAAAAATAATGCTGAAATTATAAGAAGCATTTTTTTTAAAATGTCAGAAACCAAAATTAAAAATTAATATAAAATATAAGGATTAAAGGGCCAAACTCTTCCATTTTTAATCTGGACTCTATAAATTGTGTTATTTCACATGATAAGACGTTTGGTTCCATGCATTGTCATTGTATTCTGCTTGATTTTTTTTTTTTTAATGGAGGGAGTATTCTACTTGATCTGATTGGAGTTAATCATGATTTGTCCAGAATATGTTAATGTAACTTCTATTAAATTTCATAATCCCTCTTATCTAAAATAAGGCAACTTTGTAACCAAAAAAATAAGGTAACTTCTAAAAGAGATCTTTAGTTTATATTATGATTAGCTTTTAATATAAAACTAGTTGAATAATTTAAGTAAATTAAGAAAATTAGGTAAGTTAGTTATTTGTCATAAATAATTGCTATCTTTCTTAAAGTATTTTTGCTAATAATATATATTAGCCATAACTACTATTTGATAAAATCTTTAATATGTGTAACTATTATAATGATTACCTTAGAAAAAATAAATAAATATAATAAATAAAGTGGATTGAGGTCTTATGATCAAATTAAATGTCAAACTATCTCTTATACTAAGAACCGGAGATGATAATATAAATCACCTAAAAGATTATTAATTATCAATTATCAATTTTATTTTTACTTACTAATGATTTATATTGATACTGAGAAAGATAATAAACATATTCAAATAAGAGTAAAATTGAAAAATTATTTTAATTTAAGACAGATTTAATAAGTTAATTCCTTTCTATGATTAGCCAAAGTGATTAAAAATAACTTATAGTTTTAATCCCAGTTATTGTAAAATATTAGGATGAAGATAAAGAGATATAGACTAAATTTTATATATATATTGAAAAATAGATATACAGATTCTTCGCAACATGGTGGGCCATTTGCCCAGAAAAGGAGAATTTAATTTACTCATTAAAAAAAAAAAAGTAGGGAAACTTTTGAAATTCTATTAACGGATTGAGCAAGTGTAGGCCCCATCAAATCGTCTATTATCACTAATCACGCGTTATTATTAATCTCACTAATTTTGGCATTTGAACAAACAAAACTGGATCGAATTCGTTACGTATCTCAATTCAACTAGGTTATGGATTCTTCTCACATTCTTTCTTCTGCTTCCTACGTCTCTCTTTCCTCCCAATATCTCTTTCGATCATCAATGCTTTACTTATAAATCAAATCAATCCTCTCTGCATTCTCACTCTTGGTTCCTTTGATTTCTCCTTTTCTCTTGGATTTTAGCTTTTAACCGTTCAATCTGCATTCATCCCCGTCATGGGTTTCAAATCCCTCTTCTCTCGGAAGAAGAAACTCCTCGAATCCGCCGCCCAATCGCCCATCACGTCCCGATCGCCTTCGCTGTCGATGCATTCTCGTGCGCAGCTCACGGCGGAGTTGGAAGAGGTATTCAAGAGATTCGACGTGAATGGCGACGGCAAGATCTCCGCATCAGAGCTGGGATCCATATTGGGAAGCCTGGGCGAACCGGCCACGGAGGAAGAGCTGAATAACATGATCCGTGAGGTGGACGCCGATGGCGACGGATTTATTAGTCTTCAAGAGTTTGTCGAGCTTAATACGAAAGGGATCGATTCCGTGGAGGCCATGGAGAATCTGAAGGACGCGTTCTCAGTTTTCGACATTGACGGCAACGGGAAAATCACGGCGGAGGAGCTTCAAATGGTAATGAAGAGCCTCGGGGACGACTGTTCTGTGGTGGAATGCCGGCGGATGATTAACGGCGTCGATAGCGACGGCGACGGCCAGATTGATTTCGAGGAGTTTAAAGTGATGATGATGATGGGATCTCGCCATGATACTAGTGACAGAGTGAAGCCGGAATAAGGCATTGTTTCGCTCTAGCTTTATTTTTTTTGATTTGATTTTTTCAATCTATGATTTGAGGATGGAAATTTCACATCCTGCAAATTTGATAGATTGCTAATTCTAAGCAGTTAGATTTGAAATATAAATAAAGATTATATTTTTTTCACAATTATTCTTTTATAGCTAGTATGATTAATGTGCACATATCCGAAACAATTTTCTGATTCTGGAGCTTCAATTCTCTTAGATTTTTTTTCCCAACTCAATCCAATTTCTTTAACTTACATCTTATTTTTTGTTTTTGCCAACATTCTTTAACTTACATCTGAATTGTTATAGACTTATAGTTTTACGTTACTTTTAGATTTGATCATCCCTATAAATCTAAATAACAATAAATTAAAAATATATTCTGCTGATAGATTGAGCTACTTTTTCTCCCTACAATATGTATATGTTATTCAAGGAAGTTATTTGTTTAAGAATTCAGGAATATGTACATATAACTCTTTTTTCTTGTTCTTACGATTTAAAGTTTGAAAGGTTGAAATTTCTATTAGAAGTTATTACCTCTCTAATAAATAAAGATTAAAAAAAACACAGAGAGAGAAAAGTTATGTCTTGCACTTTTTGAAACATTCATTCAAAAATCAAAACATAAGTTTTTTTTACCAGAAAAAAGTTATCTTATTGGCATAGCATCATGAGGGATATGTCATATTGTCATACATGTTCTGTCACGAGTAGGGATCGAGCCACAGATGACTGAGGCAGGCCCGAGATTATAAATCCAAGTACACGTATTAATTTGAAGAAAAATATATGAGTAAAGCATGAAACATAATACTCCGGTCACATAAGACCTATTTAACTAATTTGATTAAATTAAAAAGTTAGATAAGTTAGTTAATTATAAAAATGTGACATGTTTTTTCTAAAACATCATAATCATTTTTTTAATATCTTCTCTTTCTCTTTTACTTGATTATAATTGAGAAAGTATCCATAAGAATAATTTAGAAAACATTGATAAATATAAGAAATAGATATTATATTTAAGATCAAAATTAACTCAACAATTAGGTCTAATATTAAAAATCTGGAGGAGTATATATACATATATATATATATATATGGGTGTGTGTGTAATTGCATACAATACAAATGTTCTGATATATCTATATTCAATTTTAAAATATACAGTTGAAATAAATGTTTACCCTTATTGTTTAAGTCGTGCACGCCTATATTTTCCAACGTAAAAATCATCAATTCTCGTATTTCCCTTTTTTTGGATACAATCTATTCTCGTATTTCAATTAAACTTAATATAAACCATCATTAAAACAGTGAGAAGATCATAATCTATCTTGTTATCTAATAATCAAATTTTTTTAATTAAAAAAAAACTCCCAGGCACATGTCCTTGGCATCAAAAGAAGTTTTTTTTTTTGAAGGGTACAAATCTGAATCCTAATGATGCATTGAAGTTATTTAGTGGAGGGGATATTTGCAATCTTGCTAAAACAATTTTACTATTTAAATTTTTTTGACCAAAAGAAGATTCAATTCGAATATGCCCAAGGATCCAAATTGTTGCTATCTTTTATCCTTAATATAATAGTTAGTTGACTAATTTAAATAAATTAAAAAAATATTTGTATTAGTTATTTGTAATAAATAGATATTGTCTTTCCAAAAAATCTTTATTAATTAAGTGAATAGACTAAAACTATTATTATTATAAGGACTATTTAAAAAAAAGATAAATATGAGAGACAAAGTAATTGGAATTTTATACTACCTTTGATCCTTAATATAAAACCTTGTTTGGCTTTTATTTTGATCTAAATATAAGATCCAATTTACTTTAGCTCTCATATTTATGCATTCTTTTAAGGTAGTCCTCCTAATAATGTTAGTTCTAACCAATACACTTGATTAGTAAAGATACTTTAGGAAAGACAATATCTATTTATTACAAATAAATAACTTAACTTATTTTTTAATTTCTTTAAATTAGTTAACTAGCTATTATAAGTAGAACCAGAGGTAGTATTTAACATCAAAATAAAAGTCTAACTAGCTCTTATATTAAGGACCGGAGATAATATATCTTTAGTGATTAATGTTAAAAGTTTATAAATGTTAGAAAATCTAGATTTTGTTTTGTCCATCGAGTAAAAGTTTAACAACTGTTACTAAATTTACTTATCTGAAATTTTCACACAAAAAAAAAACTGTAATTCCTAATCGAATTCATGGTAGAAAAAATGTTCTCCATCAAAATTTGTTATCCCCAATGCAGTTCTTAGACAAAACAGTCAATAAGAATTTTATTATCAAATTAAATCAATAGAAGCTCCTATAATATCAAAAAACAACTATGGGGTGCGCTTTTTTAGTTGATGTCAAATTTTCGTAAATTTTAGATGATGGAATTATTTAATCATTATGTTAGGAGAAAAATTAACCGCAAGCAGATTAAGGCTATGTTTGGATTGTCATTACAAAAGCTAAAAGCACATGGGAAAGGCTGTAACCGAGGTTGGTGGCTTATTTGAGGCAAAATGATTGTTTGGATGTGTTGCTTTTGGAACTGACTTATAACCAAAAGCAACTTATTTTCGGACGCTCCTTGCTCCAGCTTTTCCACCGTTCATAATGCATTTTACCGTTACCAGGGCAATTAATAAGTATTATTTCTCTCACCTATCATTTTCACCCAACCCCAAAGCCTCAAAACACTCGACCGAGCTCTTGCTCTGCATTCGGCCTTTTCGTCACTCTCGGCACTCTCTCGCCTTCTCCATCCGTGGGTCTCCGTCCGTCGCTCTGTCCGGCGTCTTCATCCGTCCGTCGTTCTCTCCGGCGTCTCCATCTGTGGATCTCGACGGCTGTTTCTCCTCCATCACTGTTGCGACAGATCTGTGTCATCCTTCCTTACCATCACCAGCGTGTGTGTGCAAAGAATCGCGGCTATCTTCCTCCGCCGGTCAAGGTACCATGGTTGCCTTTCTGTTCTTTTTCCTGTTCGACTTCAAATCCTCCGTTCTCCTTGTCGGTGCTGACCATGGCTGAAGGAGGCGGGTTATTTTTTTTCCCTTTCTCCTGTGGTTTGTAACTGCTGTTGTGTGTGCAAAGAATCATCTCCTGTGTTGTTTTTTCCCTTCTCCTGCGCAGGTTCTAGTTTGACCGAAGTGAACCAGTGCTGTGTGTGCCCCTGTCAAAGTGAACCAGTTTCTGATCTGTGGATATATTTTAGGATATGTCCAATTTCTGATCTCCAATCTTTATGTGCAAACATATGCTTCGGTCAAAATAGATATGTGGATATATTTAGCTAGGATATATGGATGTATTTTGGCTTGGTTGAAGCTTTTGATTCACACGTATATTTGGAATGTGGATATATTTAGCATGTATGAACAATCTGAATATTGGAAAAAGAAATTCACACGATTGATTATACTGCTTGATTATATTGAGAGTTTGGAAAATCTATTGTGTTTGTGTGATTCTGTGTTTTTGTTATCTGTCCTCAGTCATGAGCAATTTTAATTTTTTTTGGTTTTTCTGGTTACATTGAGCACTAGGTTTGAAATTTTGATCCAAACATGAATTTACAGCTCTGCCAATTTTCAGTGACGTTTATTCCGTTTCAATTCATTGCCCATGTTGAGTTGAATTTGTTATGGTCTTGGTTAAGCTGAAAATTCTAGTATGAAGGTTAGCATACCCCAAGTTTGCTTGAATTAAGGCACTTTTGGTGATAAATTGATTTACATAATATTGTGGGTTTATACTGCTTCATTATACTGTTTGATTCTTGACTAATTGTGGGTTTGATATATATGTAATTTCAACAAGAACTATGAGTACTAAAGGCAAAGCACATTGGGACGTGAGCACCACAGGTGTTTTTCTCAAAATATGTGTTGACCAGATTTATAGCAAACTGCGTCAAGGATCTTCATTTACAAAACAAGGTTGGGACAACATTCACAAAACTTTCAATGAAAAGACAGGGAGAGGATATGAAAAAAGCAGCTGAAAAATAGGTTAGATAACTTGAGAAAAGAGTGGAAGACATTTGATAAACTAATTGCTAAGGAGACCGGTATAGGGTGGGACCCTGAAAGGAACACAGTGGTGGCATCTGATGAGTAGTGGGGGAGGAAATTACGGGTATGAACTAGCTTGTGTTAATTTAGAAGCAGTATTATACTTTTGGAATATATTTAACTTTGGTTTACTTTTCACTTTGCAGGAAAATCCAGCATATGAAAAGTTTAGGCACTATGGGTTAAGGTTTCGCACTAAATTGGAAACTATATTCAAGGACACTATGGCATCAGGAGATGATATGTGGGCACCATCTTGGACCGGGCCTGAGCCACAGAGGGGTGATCAGCCAAATGACTACCAACCAACAATGGATTGGCAAGAAGGTTCAGGGGATAGGCAAGAAGGTTCAGGGGATAGTGAAGATGACACTGGACGCCGTGCAGGAGTTTCGGACTATTTGGATGGCATTAATTTAACTGCAAACACATCGAACACTGCACCCACTGTACCTAGTGCTTCAGGGAGTCAAGGGAAGAGGAAGAGAGGTGAAGGGTTGGACAAGTACAAGAAGCAAAAAATGCCAGCATCAAGAAGAATAGCAGATTCAGTGAGTTCGATTGAGAAGGCTTCAATTAGTACGGCAGAGGCAATAAACAAAATCTCCAACAATGACAACACTACTGAGCTTACCACTGATCTGCTGAGTATGCCTGAAATTGTCAGTGACACTCATCTATGTGTCATCTGTTGTAATCTGCTGGCAAACAAGACATTCAGGAACATATATGCTGGTTTGAGAGAAAATCAGGAGGTATTAGTAGCTTGGTTGAAGCACAATGCTGCAAACCCGCCACCATATGCTACACCCAAGAATCCTTGAGTTGTGCCTAGTGACTTATTGTGATTTCTGTTTATCTATCTTAATGTATTTGGTTATTGTGTGTCATGACAATGTGTTTAATGATTATGTGTGTTTCATGACTTTGTTTAATGTTGTGTGTTTCATGACTACGTTTAATGTTGTGTTTCATGACTATGTATAATTATTATGTTACAATTTAATGGCTATTTATCACTTATCTTTTCT